ATTTTCTCATTGGCTTAGTAGTTCGTAACTTAATCAGATAATATAAATTCTTACAATAAAGAAGATCCCCCATCTTTGACTTTCAAATTGAATAATTTGAAGAATATAATTTTACCATAGTACCAGCAAATTCCTTTATCATAATTCACACAATTAATATTAGACCACAAATCAATCAACAAACTAGTCAACTAAGCTCTGATATCACTTATTAGGTTTTTTAAATATTCTAATTTATTTGTGTAAATTAAGGCAATCTCAAAATTAATTCAGAGAATCTTAATTTAATATTTTCAAGCCAACCAATCAGTTAACAGTTCCAATACAAATAAAAAAATAATCACAAAAATAAAGGACACAAAATTTACGTGAAAAACTCTCTAGTGTTGAGAGAAAAACTACGATATAAGTTCTGAATCAAATCTACTATCAGAAAAATCAAATATACAATGTTAAGGAGAAATACACAAATCCCTCTAATCATATTTACTCTCTCTTGAATGATCACACTAAGATAATTAGAAATAATAATTCTCTAAAAAATTGATTCAAAAATTAACAAAGAAAAGTTATTAATCTTTGTCAATAAACCTTGTCTTGATTTCTGTGTAGATAACTAAATAACCCTTCATTTTCTATCTTGGGAATAGTGCGCAGAGGAAACTGCGTGAGAGTGATGCTTTTCTGGATATGCGTTTTTTGCCCTCTTCTATTTTGTGTAGTGTGTATATATATATAAGAGGAAACTGCAGCCATAATTTTTCTTCTATTTTTTTATTTTTAATTTACTAATTTATCAATGTGGGCTAGACACAAAAACCAATACTAAAGTTGTGGCAATGGTAGTGACTAGTAACATCAATGGTGGGATTGAGGAAGTTGTGAGAATACTTTGACTAAAACCATCAAGGCACATGTGTTGGTTAGTCATGTCGGCATTCAGTAATGTTTGCAAGTCATATTAGTTTTTGACAACATATTTTTTATAAGAGAGATAAAAAATGGCATACTTCAGATCGAAAATTATGTCTTTGAAGAGCTCGAGACAATCATGCAAGGCCTATTATTTACAAGGGTTGAGGTTTTTGAGGTGGGTCTCAAAGATTGTGTAATTGTGGGAAGAAGTTTTGATCTCGAACATGGTGATGTTGATAATGGTAAAGATGAATTACGAGAGGGATTTGGTGATATCTAAGAGAAACAAGAGGGTGGAGATGTAGAGGTATGGGTAGAAAGAGTAGTGATATGTGGAATTAGCTATTTAGAGTGCCATAAAGGGGGGATTCAATGAAGAGAAATGAGAAGAGACAATGAGTCACCAGGAAGTCAGACTGAGAGACAACTTGAATAAGGTGATGAGGAGTTGGCAGATAATTGATGTGCGATGTTGAATAAGAATATGATGATGATGATCAAAGGTGAAGGGTCATTTTGACGTCAATCTTGGTTGTTGAAAGATGAGGATATCAAAGACCCCCCAATGATTAAACTCTAGTAAAAAGAATGGTTCGAGTTTGGGGACATAAAAAATTAAAAATTAAAGTTTTTTTTATAAAAAAAATTAAACAACTTCATACACTTTATAAAAAAAATTAAACAACTTCATACACAATTATAGTTTTATTTATGAATTTGTTTGAACCGATTTAAGTTAAAAAATTTTAATGTCGTGTTAGATGTCATGTGACATGTAACATGACATTCAACTGATACATGACGTCTAAATTAAAGGTTTTAACTTCTATTAATATAAAGGGATTAAATCAATTTTTTTTTTTTCAAAAAATACATAAACCAATTTAACAAAAAATTAAAGTATAAATTAATTTAAATAAAAATAATAGTATAATGACTAAATTATTATTTTAATCTTTTGTTCCCACTTTTTAAAATGTATAGTTAATATAGTTATATGAATATATTTTTTATTTTTTTATAAAACTTTTAAAATAGTTATATAATAAAATAATATTATTATTTAATTATTTGTATTTGTGCTGTTATCATTAACATGTTTTTATTCTGTATAAATTAAAATAAATATTAACTATAATATACAATAAAAAATATTATATTTGATATATATTAATATTTATAAGTTTGACTATATATTCTCATAAAAATGAATAAAGATATTATATAAATTTAAAAATTATTAAGTAAAGTCCTGTATTTTTACCGCTATTAAATATTTCATAATTAATTATTATATAAAATATATAATAATGATCACAAATTTAAATACTTGTTCTTCTAGATAATGTATTATTAATTAAAAAAAATATTTCAAAATTAGTAAGCATGCAATAGTTAAATATATAATATACAATGAACATATTAATTATTTTAATTATATGCTAATTGTTTTAAACGGTACACATAAATAATTAAATTAAGTATATATGAAATGAATATATTTATATTGATTGAATCATACAATCAACTACGATAACCGAGATACATAGAGTTAAAAATAGTTAAATTAATTTTGTAAATAATTAGTATATTTTTATTATATAGCTTGATATAATAATATTAACACTAAATTATATATGTATATATATATATATATTTGTCATAAGATGAGTGACAACAATTCGTACATCTAAATATTTAAATTCAATTTTTTAAAAAAATTTATACGAAACTCAAATGCAACTTGTAATCTTGATTCAGATACTTTTTAAGCTTGAATTCAGTTTGTTTAGCAATAATTTAAAATCGAGTTCAAAGTCAATTTAATTCGAATTACATTAAATTTAATTTAGTAATTTAATAAATAGCTACTATAACATTTTTTTATTTAATTTATTTATAAGTTTTATAAATATTTTTAACATTAATATTAAAAATATCATTATTTATGGAACATGTTACACATTTGTATAATTTAATTTTTGTGAGTAAATAAAACATATTTAATTTATTAGCAGATAAATAAACACTTTTCATGGATTATTGAACAAAATACTTTTAGTTTCAAATTCGATTAATTTAAGCAAAATGAATATCTTTCATCAAAAAATAAATAAATATAAATTTCAAGTTCGAATCTAATGTAGAATTAACTGATTGGCCCAAACGAACGTGGGCCCAGCCAAGTTTGAAGAGGAGATGAAACGACGCGTTTAAGTTTTCTTCTTCCTCTTTTGTGTTTTTTCTTTTTTTGGTTATTCGTTCTCCTCTTTCTTCTCGAAGCTTCATCCATAAATCCGGACGAAAGGAATCGTCTGGTTTTCTCTGAAATGGAAATTCTAGGGAATCGAAAACAGAGTGGAAGAGACCAGAATATGATCCACTTGATGGAGAAAGACACGAGTGAAAGTAGAGATAGCTTGAATCAGATAACACGAGACTGGTGCGGCAGAGAACAGAGCTCGAGCCTTCGACGGCAAGGAAGGATTTATTTGGGGTGAAGAATTGCAGAGCCAAAAGCGAGGCAGCGAAAAAAGAAAGAGGCTGAACTGAGAAAAGAGCAGAGAAAAAAGACTTGACAGGATAGAAGGCGCAGAAAATGAGCGCCGTTGCAGGGATTCTTCATTGACTCGAGGAAAAAGGAAGAGAGATGGAGAAGGAAAGAGGTATATATGAAGGTAGTTTTACATATCTGTTAAATGTTTTTATAATTCTACAACATTAATCATCCGAATCTGTCTGCTCAGAATTTACAAATCTTTTTGCTCAAATATGAATTTCATCGTTCTCAACTAAAAGCTCCACAACTTTACTCATAGCAGGCCTTGTATCCCGATCTTCTCTAATGCACAACATTGCAACTGTCAACATTCTTTTCAGCTTTTCCTTACTATCTTCGCCATTAACTCTCTCATCAAATATTTTTTCAGGTCCTTCTACTTGTATCTTCTGTGTCACCCATTGTACCAAATGGTTGCACTCGTTGTCATGCACCTTGGTCGATTGAAAACCTGATGCTGTTTTTCCGGTCAGTAATTCCAACAGGACAACCCCATAGCTATACACGTCTGCCTTGGCATCAATTTTCAGGTTCAACATCCATTCAGGAGCCAAATACCCTCTGGTGCCTCTAACCCTAGAAAATCCACTTTCATTAATCTCTTTTTTGAATAGTTTTGACATGCCAAAATCTGCTACTTTGGCCTCAAAACAATCGTCTAATAGTATGTTTTCAGCTTTGACATCGCAGTGGAGTACCCACTCCAAGCACTCTTCGTGTAAGTACGACAAGCCCTTTGCTGTCCCAACTGCAATGTTGTATCTTTGCTCCCATCCTAATGTGTCTGCTAAATCTGTGAACAAGATTCGATCGAGTGATCCATTTTCCAAAAACTCATAAACTAGTATTTTGTGGCCTTTCTCAGCACAAAATCCCCACAATTTCACCAGATTCCTATGATTAATCTTCCCTATAATGCTCACCTCTGCCCAAAATTCTGCTTCTCCTTGCAAAGCACCTTCTAGTCTTTTTACAGCAACAGCTCTTTCGTCATCAAGAACTCCTTTGTAAACAGTCCCGAATCCCCCTTTTCCTATCTCTTCTTTGAAGTTTCTTGTAGCGCTTTGTAGCTCTGCATAAGTAAATCTTTTGAAGCCTAAAGCTCGTACGATATTGTAACCCATATTAACCATTTCATCATGAACACGCTTTCTTAAGAAATACCACCATCCTAAAAAGAAGAGGATTATTTCAATCAAAGCAACAGCAATCAGAAAGCCGGTTAGATATTTCAGGTAGCGGTCGTTATTGGTTTTTTGTTTATCACTGCTGTTGTTAATTATAACCTCTGCAGTTGAACAGTTCAATTCATCAACTTTTGCCTTCACCGTTTGTCCAAAAGAGCTTCTTAGTCGTCTGGGAACTTTTACATACATAATGATGCGAGTAT